TGATTCTTTCATTAGCGCCTATTTTTTTTTATCACTAGCCCGATACTATATTTGCTTTACGAGTAAATACATGTACATGTAGTAAACCTAGAATATTGCATAGTAATATATGGATATAAACAGTGTTCCCTTATGTTTAAGATAATTTTGGTCATATTGTTCGAGAACTTCGTTTTGACACGAGAAAGAAAAGATGGACTTCGTTGTTGGCAAGTACAACAAGTATAGAAAAGATGAAATGACAAATGCAAAAAGCCGAGTTCAAAATTTATATGTTTATTATTATTTTTATTAGAACGGAGGTTACAGATAGTGTAGTATCTTTTGTGTCCATTTGTGTTTAATTTCCACTAGTTATCAGCGCGACGCTTAATTCCACTTTTCTTGGAAGACGTAGTTTTAAGCGTACACCATGTTGGAATCCGTGAAAAAAACGCGAAATAGAACTTTATAATTTGACGTTTTTTCATGGCTGGAAACAACGTCATAGAGCTTTTATGTCACTAACAAATGCGTTAGTTGATGCGCATGAACAATAGGCTGTTTGGTCTTTAACTTAATGCTGAGTTCACACGTAATTCGAATTCGATTCGCATTAACTAATTCGAATTAGTTTAATTCGCATTCGAAACGTTTTACGTCCTAACGTCAATTCTAATTCGAATTGCAATGCGCGTCAAATTCGCTTTACTGTCCAAACGTCGTTATCTTTTAATTCGCATTATCAATTAATTAATTGATTGATTTAAAAAGATTTAAAACAAAAACAAAAAAATATTTTAGGGCTAATTGCGTCTCCAACCTTCTTGCTCTTATATGGATTATTTCCCTTTTCAGTATTTAAACAATTCAAGATGTGTTTTATTTGTAAGCTAATTTTTCATACCTTTTAGCTTTATTCTATTCAGTATTTATAAATTGAGTAATGTTGACATTTGAGTTCCTTTATTTATTTAAATTTTACCACAATTTGCAATGTTATTCACTTTTGCTTACCATTTTGAAGGAAGTTGTTTAAATAAAATATAATAATAATGTTTACTGTAAGTCTTACTATAAGCATTCCGACAACCGTGCATAAAGAAAAAAAAATCACTCTCACATTACCAGACGTGTCTTATTATAAGATAAGCTAAACAAAGAAAACGCATTGGCTGACTAGTATGTATAAGTTGTGACACGAAGCCTTTCTGTGACATTTTTCTATTCAGACTGGTATAATGCACTTTCATGTCAGGGTTCAATACCGATTGGATTGAAATTTGGATTTTCATATAAAATAAATACTTTTTGACACAAATCAACTAAATTATACCTCGCTACCAATAATAAATCAATTGATTAGAAAGATAAAATTAAAAATTCAATACATTTGAAGAAGAAACAAACTTTATGTGTCTTACAATGAATGTTCTTTGGAAAAATATTTGAGACTAACAGTTTCTGTGATTACTAAACACTGTTTGTCAACTAATAAAAAATCTAAACATTTCCCGAAAATTACGAACATTATTTGCCCATTTCTCAAATGTTTCGGCAAGAGCGCTGATCAAGTCTTTTATTCAACAACGCACGTTCGGCGCAATTTATGCCTGGAACTTTGATATATTGTTTCTGCTTCGCCTTGATCAATTCAAAACAACATAATACCCCTATCTTGGTTATTCCGCTCCGCAGTTACCGCAGTTACTCAGGGAGGAAAATATTGTGATACAGATGTTGAAATGTTTGTGAAACAGTAATGAATGACTATGTTCTGTTACACCACTGGCAAAGGCTGGGGAGGGTTGGGATCCCGCTAACATGTTTAACCCTGTCACATTCTGTATGTATGTGTCTGTCCCAAATCAGGAGCCTGTAATTCATGTGTTACATATTTGTTTTTCGTTCATTTTTGTACATAAATTAGGCCGTTAGTTCTCTCGTTTGAATTGTTTTACATTTGTCAATTCAAGGCCTTTTATAACTTACTATGCAGTATGGGCTTAGCTCATTGTTGAAGGCCGTATGGTGACCTATAGTTGTTAATTTCTGTGTCATTTGGTCTCTTGTGGAGAGTTGTCTCATTGGCAATCATACCACATCTTCTTTTTCATATGACGTTGTATATGACGTCACAAATGACGTGTGCTGTATTCCTTGCAAGACACCAATATGGAGCACTTCGATCGCAAAAAAATGTTCAGCTTTGTTCTTTGTATTATCATGAGACTTGTTTTTTCTGTGTGGATACAAGATAAGAGAATGAAGAGGAGAATGGTGCTACAAAATCAAAGACAGAGGAGAAAACGGCATTTTTTTCGATCTTTGCAGCGAAGGCGAAAAATGGCATGTATGTTGTTTGTTGATCTTGCTAGAAAGCCATGCACAGAAAGAGCGCTGTGGGCAAAAGAAAGAACAGTTGACATTTACAACGATGCAATAATTGTTTGGTCAGATTCGGATTGGAGGCACCATACTAGAATTTCGAAGGAAACATTTAGTTTCTTGGAAGAAGAGCTAGGACCACATATAAAAAAGAAGGATACAGTGATGCGATCGGCTGTTCCTGTTGGCAAAAGACTTCTAATGACTCTTTGGTATCTTGGTACACAGATGGACTTTCGATCTTTGGCTGCATTATTTGGAGTAGGAAAATCGACAGCGTGTAATATTGTACACGAAGCATGCATGAAAATGAGACAAGTTCTTACTAAAACATTCGTAAAATTCCCAAGAAACCAAGCGGCTGATGAAATAGTAAGCGGCTTCGCCAACTTAGGATTCCCACAAACCGTTGGTGCTATAGACGGCACGCACATACCTATAATTGCGCCTGCTGAGAACTCGAGCGACTTTTACAACCGGAAAGGTTATTACAGTATAATTATGCAGGCTGTGGTAGATCATTCTTATAAATTCATAGATATACATGTCGGATGGCCTGGAAAAGTTCACGATGCGCGAGTGTTCAGACATTCTTCCCTTTTTGAAATTGGAAACCAAGGATTTTTCCCAGAGAAGGTGTTAAATCTAAATAACACACAGGTTCCTATTCACTTGATAGGAGATGCCGCCTACCCACTTCTACCATGGTTAATGACCCCGTTTAAAGGAAAACTATCGGAAATACAAGAAACATACAACTACAAACTATCTAGTGCAAGGATGGTCGTAGAAAATTCTTTTGGCCGATTAAAGGCCCGGTTTAGAAGACTACTCAAGCGATTTGATGGGCAGCTTCCATTTTTGTTGGATGTTATTGCAGACTGTGTTATTCTCCACAATATTTGTGAAATCAACAAGGACGTCTGTATCGAAGAGTGGTTTGATGAAGAAGTGACAAGGGACGTTGAAAATGCTAGGGCTATTTGCGGAAATTTCGAAGGACAAATAGGTGATGCTAAAAACATAAGAAAAGCGATAGCAGAGTACCTGTTTCAGTGAACGTAATCGTATGAAACTTTATGATCGAGAAAGTATCAATTTGATGACATGTAATTTAGATTTAACTTCATAATATGCTCTGATAATTTAAAACTCAGAATATGTACGATATTTTACATTAAAATAAATTAAATATGTGTATATCTAATAACGCCAATTTTACACTTTTCCAAAAATACACAATTTATCCATTTCGAAAAAGTATTGTTCATTTGTACTCAACTTTTTTTTGTCGGTCGGTACAAAGTCATGTTTATTATTTGTTGTTTTCGTTTGTTTGTGTCGTAACTCTTCATTATGGATACATAGGTTATTTCACGGCAAAAATAACTCACTGCAAGTTGTATATAAGAAAGAAAAAATATAACGGTATTTGAGATTTTTAAACCCTCTATGGACAGATGTATTTAGGTTGAACAATTTTACCAATTGGGCAGACAAAAGGTATGTGTGCTTAGTGACACTGTGTTCTGCAGCCGGTTGTACGAACGTGGCATTAGCCTAATGGGTCATTAAGTCTTCATTAAGCCTTTATGAAGCATTAGGCTAATGAAGACTCTATGACTCATTAGACTAATGACACGTTCGTACAACCGGCTGCATCTACCTACCCTTATTGGTATCCCCTACTCTGAAAGTTTTGGTTTTTTTATTTACAATTTTTCATTAATCCCTCTTAAAGTCACAATGCTAAAAAGAAAATATCCACCGAAGGGGACAGTTATCACACATCCATATTTTGTTTGCCTTATTAAGAATTTGCTCACACATTAGATTTTTGCGATCTTCAAAAAAAAATTGTTTGACCCTAAAGTAACAGCTTTCATGTTTGCGAACGATTGAAAAATGTCTTGTCATTTTTCTTTAGGATACCCGAAGGAACATTAATATGAAGTTTGGGTTCCAATCCACTTTCTGATTTTTAGAAGATGATTGTTATCATGATAACATCAAAATACTCAAAAAGCTTCGATAAAGTGTAATAAATTTGCATCTATTGATCCTCAAGAAAAAAAAACCAGCATGGTCCAAGGATACAGATCTCATCGTACTAAACGTTTACCCTGTTATAATTTTGCTCAATCTCAAGGCTTTTGAGATATTTTCAAAATAAACATGTTGTTTGGTCCTGTGGACCTTGTTAAATTACACAAACAATGTTTGACGACGGATAAATGATTGCCATGTATTGTTAGGCTTGTACAGGATACTCTAAAAAAAAATCACACAAAGGTTTGTTCCAGTCCGATTTGTCGTTTCAAAGGAGATGATTATTGAGATGGTAACGACTACTAAGAAGAACGTCAAATGAATTCAGATTAGCTAAAAACAATTTTTGGAAATGAACCTTTGTACAAGCTTAAAATCAAACTAGTACTACGCCTAGCCTGGTATGCATAAAACCACTTAATATAAAAAAGAAGATGTGGTATGATTGCCAATGAGACAACTCTCCACAAGAGACCAAATGACACAGAAATTAACAACTATAGGTCACCGCACGGCCTTCAACAATGAGCAAAGCCCATACCGCATAGTCAGTTAAGTTCCATTCCAATAATAAAACATTCAGACAGATCTAACAAACTTTATTATAACCTTTACTAGTTATCAACATTTATTTTATTACACTAAATTCGAAACTGAAAATCGTACAGTCATCATGTTTACAAGTTTGTGTACGTGTATGTGTCAAGGCAATCAAAGGCATCCTGCATTTCAAAGAAATTGGGTTCTTGCCTACTATATCCGGATGCGTCACCACTGCAGTCGGCAGCTGGTTTTCCAGATGTTGTTGGTTGTGAATCATTACAGGTAAATGCGGACGATATCTGCTGACCAAACATTGTCATCATCTGCATTTGCAGTTTCTGCTGCATGGCAAACATTTGCATTTGGAATTGCCGCTCTGATTGCAAGCGTTTTTCTTCAATTATGTGTTCCTCTTTTCTAATTTTTTCTTCTTGCTCTAAAAACAGTTTGGTGCTGGACAATTCCATTTGCTTTAACGTTTCCATAAACGGACCTGAAGAGAAATTTATAATTACTAGTCATTGTGATGTACCTTTGATAGGCAACCACAATTTGACCATCCAATAAAGTTAAAAAACTTAAGTATCTCAACTCACTTAAAAACTTACAGGTGCATGTACATCAAAAACAGATATAGAGTGTCTGAAACCGTATAAGATTCTTAGAAAATATAAATTTGAACTCATTATCCGGAACAATAAAAATATTTAGAAGTATGTCAAACTCAAATGTCATGCGTTTATGATTGCGCATATACGCCTTCATAGATTCTTAAATATGTACTAAATTAGGTGGGGTTTAGTAATAATTGTCAGATGTTCGGACTTCTTGGTAATCTTCCTTTAATACAATAATTAGTTTGCCCAATAACAAACATTTTTCTTTACATATTAGACTTCAATAACTCATGAAAGGTCTTTTACTAAAATTTAAGCAGATTTACATTTCATGCTTTCGATTTGAGGCTCAAATAATACCAATGCAAATATAAGGCAAAAGTACGCGTCAGCCTTTTCCCTCCTTTGTTTTAAATAAAATATCTCGAAAAGGAGTTCCATAACCTATCAATATTTTTAGCTTATTTTGTTCCTTAATGAATGCTCTTCCGACAAACAGTATCAATATTAAACTCATGATTTTTTAAATTTCGCTTAAGTACATCCTAAATGAATATTTACCAAATGTTTCGTCCCTCTTTCTTTTCCGTGACTTGGAGATCGGTTTCTTTTGATTGATTTCCATTTTCTGTTCTTTCTCTTCAGCCAATTGGCCCAAGTTAGCATCAATCTCATCTTTGAAATTCTGTGACGTTTCTATCTCGGCTGATTCGTTTTCTATAAAAAAGAAATAAAAGTATTATGAATAATTCCCCTCGATTAAGATAAATAACACTTGTTTTCTCCAAGCGATTAACGGTAATAGTGTTGTAAATAATTTACGAAAGGACGGATATCGAATACCAAAATCACTTACCGCGTAACAGGACCTTTTAACATAGTAATGCTAATATAAAAATAAAGGAGATGTGGTATGATTGCCAATGAGACCAATATCCACCAAAGTTGAAATAAAATAGATGTATGTAATTAGGGATAACCGTACGGCCTTCAGCAATGAGGGAAAAACCATACCGTATTGTCGGTTATAAAAGGCCCCGACACGAAAAATACAAAATAAGAAAACGAACGGACTAATTCATAAAAAAAGAATTTACGAAAAACAAACATGACAGATACGAAACAACGACAACAACTGCATGAACGAGTCCCCTGGCTTGGGTCAGGTACATAACGAATATGGCGCGGTCAAACATGTTTGCTGGCGCCAGGACTATTCAAAGCGAAACCTTACAATGCCCAAGCGTAAGCCTTCATCTTATCATAAAATCGTGCATTTTGTAGCGTACTAGAACTTTAAAACACCACCTGAATTACCGATTAGCCGATTAATCGTGTGAAAGATTTTCCCAGTAACCTGTTATGTACAAAACTGTTAATTTGACAAGCATAGTTTTCCAACATCACAAAACAAAAAAACAAAACAATTTTATTTCTTACCATTTGAGCTCTCTAAGTCGTCAACATTCACATACTCAGCTCCAGCGTTCACCACCAGCTCAGGCTGTACTATTGGTCTGGTGCCCATGAATTTATCTATCTCATCAAAGTATGCAAATTTTGCTCTTTCATGTCCTGATGTGTTGTTCTGCTGTTTGGCCTTCATGTATTGTACTCGGAGAGCTTTAACTTTTGTTCGGCATGCATCCCAGTTTCTTACATATCCATGCTCCTTCATTTTATACGAAATTTTTTCGTACACATGACGGTTTCTGTGCGTCCCAGATAATTCGGCCTCGATAGCATCATCCGCCCAACACTGGATAAGACAGAATGTCTCCATTAACGACCAAGTGTTACCCCTTTGTAGATTATTGTCGGACATGTTGGACTTGTCCGAACATACACATATGACGTCAATATGACGTCATGACCACCATGACGTCATGATTTCGCCTATGACATTTTCGCGGACACGAATAATATTTCTAAGAATTTAAAAGAAATAATGATAATATATTTTTTAATCTGTCCGTCCAAGCACTTGTTCGGGTAATTCGAATTACAATTTAGAAAGTGTTCACACCACAGTTTAATTCGAATTGATGCGAATTAACTAATTCGCATTAACAAAAACGTATATCTAATGCGAATTGGATAATGCGAATTAGCCAATTCGAATTCGATTCGAATTAAAAATGAAGAGTGTGTGAACGTGATTAGCGAATTCGATTCGCATTCGATTCGAATTCAATTCGAATTAAACGTACGTGTGAACGAGGCATTAGGTTCACTTTTCCGTACGCACAATTTAAGTACTCATTTGATAAAAGATGTATGGACAAAGGTCGTCATATATTGAATTCTTATAATCTCAAAAATAACAAAAATTCGTGACAAAACTAATAAACATTTTAAGGTAGAAATTGTTATTTTGAATGTTCGGTCCAATGCATGTTCAGAGAGCCAGCGGTCAGTTGCTTACTTTTAAGTACAACAATTTAAAGACACATTTTATCATTGATGTATGGACAAGGGTCATCAAGTAGGATGATTGTTTCGTAATTTAAATCTTATAATTCCAAAAATAAAAAAATTTCGTTACAAATATTATTTAGATTTTAGGGCAAAAATTGTAATTTTAAATGCCAGGCGCAATGCATGTTCAGAGGGCCATGCGTACAATGTATAGAGAAGGCGGCCAGGCATAGCCTAGTCTACTGATTATTTATACCAAGGCCTTTCGTGTAGCACTTCAGCTTTACTTTCCACGAAATTTAAATGAGATACATTTATAGTAAAGGGTGAGTCACGAGGTGTCGCTCCAGAATCCCTTTTCTTCAGAATTCCTCCTACAGACTCATTGTGGTAGTAATCTATAAAATAAGATTTAAAATATGTCTTAGAGACGTGTTGTTTGTCTGTTTGTCTTCTTCTTTTTTAGCCATGGCGTTGTCAGTTTATTTTCGACTTATGAGTTTGAATGTCCCTTTGGTATCTTTCGCCCCTCTTTTGCAACTGTATACTAAAAAGACCATAGGATATCAATACCAATATAAAATAAGGAGCTGTGGAAGGATTTCAAATGAGGTAACTATCCAACATAGTCCAACTGAAGCGGATTGAAGCAACCATAGGTCACCGTACTGCCTTCAACAATGAGCAAAACCCATATCGTATAGTCAGATATAAAAGCTCACGACATGACAAAATGTGAAACCGTTAAAATAAAAATAAACAACAGCCTGATTAACGACAAAACAAAAAAAAAACAAAAAACAGACAGCAACCATGACAACCGGCTTCTGACTTTAGACAGGCATATATAAGATGTGGCGGGGTTAACATTTTTTTTAGATCAACCCTCCCCGTAACCTTGGACAAGTATGCTTTTGCTATCTGAAGGGACACTTATGACAATTATCGTTGTGTTCATGGTCAATCCAGTGTATGATGGTCTGTATGGGGGTCCTTGATTATTTTATTCTTTAGTTCTTTAGAGCATTTTTCTCTATTCTTTAATTATTTTGCCCATTTTTCTCCATTCTTTAAACTTTAACATCCAATTATTCTCTATTCTTTATTTTTTTTTGCTTATTCTTCTCTATTCATTATTTGTTTGCCCATTATTCTGAACTTTTTGAACTATTATTCTATATATTGTAAACCCCATCCATACCCTCGTGTATTTAAAATTACTAGTATCATTATTTTTCAGTTCAACTTGGTTAAACAATAAAAAACAAACGAACGCCTTCACCTATCTAGTCAATTCATTGCCATTATAAATTGTCTGTCCCTAGAAATATCTATCTTGGAATATATCCATTATGTCAGGAATATGACAGTTGTTTTATATTTGTTTGATGTGTTTGAGCTTTTGATCTTGCCATTTGATAAAGGACTTTCTTTTTTGAATTTTCCTTGAAGTTCGGTATTTTTGTTATTTTGCTTTTTGCTGTAGGATACAAAAGCGCAATTATTTATTTGCATTTTACCGGGAAGATTTTTTTTACCCCCAAGTATTTCAATAAATTGTTGACAAATCCTATCCCAGCACCCCAACAACATAGATCACAAGGTGTTTCGAACATCTATTTATACCAATTAGAATAAACTAGTTGACCATGGCCATGTCCATCGTCAGGAGCCCAAGCCATTGCATGGTGACACTTAAAGGAGCTACCATTTGATTTTTATGGGGGGCTAGGATGAAATTTGAAAAAAATAGGCAGGACAGGAGTTTTGAGTAAAAAAAAAGGCAGGACGAGATTATTTGCAACAAAAAAAGGCAGGATGACAATTTATGTAAAAAAAAGTCAGGATAAACTAAAAAAAAAAGGCAGGACCGAATAGAATGAAAAATAAAAAGGCAGGACAGAGATTTCAACTTAAAAAATATGCGGGACAAAATTTTTCATTCTAGCCCCCCCCCCCCCCCCCCCCCATAAAAATCAAATGGCAGCTCCCTAATCTTAAAAATACTGTAATTTTTATAAGGGGCTTGACACCTCGTGATGTTTGACTAATACTTTTCTATACTATTTCTTTTCTATTCATGTTTATCAATTTAACAAATATAGTATATATTTTCATGATTTGCAGTATGTAAATTGGGAAGAGTTGCAGATGTTACTGTGTATTTTTAAGTTTTTATTCCTACGGAAAGCGAAAAGAGGTCTTTTATCAAATACAAGTTTTGCCTATTCGTCATCTTTTAATATATCCCAGTGTTTCAAAATATTAATTGTTCTTAAAGTGTGTTTTCTGTCTTGAAACACTGTGGAGAATACCAAGGGTGGCGACTGTAATACAGATTTGGGTTAATGTGTCACTTCTCTGTTTTGCAGTCACCTCCTGCATAACAGTTTTTTTTATTCATTTTCTTTATATCCCCTTTTTAATAAAGCATTCAGAAAATAACGCGTATTGTGTTTGCAAATCTACTGGATCGTTCGTCCATCTCTTAAAGCGAAACATCTCTCTGTTAATTATGCCTTTGAAAATAGAGGATGGATGGCACGAGGACTTCTCTAAGTACTGATGATTTTCACTTTTTTTTCCGGGAACGTCGTGAGGTCTAAGAATCATGTTTCTCTAAATCTTTGGCCTTTGAATACCAATAATTTAAAAACGGCATTTTAGTTTATGATTTATCGTATGTAAATTTTAGTAGTGCATGGTGTCTGTTAGCATGTTCAAAAAATTGTGCTATTTCATCATCTGTACCTTCATTGCAAATGAAAAAAGCCATCGTCCCTAAACCTATAGAGACTCGATATTTTCTGTCTATGTTGGAAAGTCCTTAAAATACTATTTCAGGCTTTAAAAAACACTCAGATCGGTAATTTTATGTGATAAACTATTTCCCATTGAATAGAATCTTGTACGGCTTCTGATTGGATGATACAGGACGGAAATTACTTGTAATCGAAAAATTATCCAATTAGGTTTAACAAATCCAGAAAATCAAATTCATATTTGACAAAGTATAGAAAATATATTAATGTCTGCACGTAGGAGCCATTAAAAAATTGACCTTTTCATTAAGCGAAAAAAATAGACGTTGTTTTTCAACTGTATTTTAAATCAACTTTTGCCACATGACCCTACATATATTTTTGGTTGTTATGCAACGTTGACATTTCTTGTAACACGATTGCTACCCATTTTTTCTACTTTGTGTAGTCTTCGAGAAATACAATATGGAACACCACTCAGTCTGGTACCCTATGGAAAATGCATTACGAATAATTGCGCTCTTGTAACCAATAGCCACTTTTAACACCAACAGCGTAACTGTTTATCTGAGACGAATTGTTTTTTTTTCTCAAATATGAAT